CATAGTATAGTAAGGCATAAAAATTTATAAAAACGACACAGTGTAGTGAGGCATAAAAACGACATAGTATCGTAAGGCATAAAAAGTCATAAAAACGACATAGTATAGTAAGGCATAAAAAGTCATCAAAACGACATAGTATAGTAAGGCATAAAAAGTCATCAAAACGACATAGTATAGTAAGGCATAAAAAGTCATCAAAACGACATAGTATAGTAAGGCATAAAAAGTCATCAAAACGACATAGTATAGTAAGGCATAAAAAGTCATCAAAACGACATAGTATAGTAAGGCATAAAAAGTCATCAAAACGACATAGTATAGTAAGGCATAAAAAGTCATCAAAACGACATAGTATAGTAAGGCATAAAAAGTCATCAAAACGACATAGTATAGTAAGGCATAAAAAGTCATCAAAACGACATAGTATAGTAAGGCATAAAAAGTCATCAAAACGACATAGTATAGTAAGGCATAAAAAGTCATCAAAACGACATAGTATAGTAAGGCATAAAAAGTCATCAAAACGACATAGTATAGTAAGGCATAAAAAGTCATCAAAACGACATAGTATAGTAAGGCATAAAAAGTCATCAAAACGACATAGTATAGTAAGGCATAAAAAGTCATCAAAACGACATAGTATAGTAAGGCATAAAAAGTCATCAAAACGACATAGTATAGTAAGGCATAAAAAGTCATCAAAACGACATAGTATAGTAAGGCATAAAAAGTCATCAAAACGACATAGTATAGTAAGGCATAAAAAGTCACAAAAACTGCATTGTTTTGTAGGGCATGGAAACGACATAGTATAGTAAGGCATAAAAATTCATAAAAAGGACATAGTATAATCAGGCATAAAACGTTATAAAAATGACATAGTATAAGAAGGCATAAAAATTCATAAAAAGGACTTAATATAGTAAGGCATAAAACGTCATAATAATGACATAGTATAATAAGGCATAAAAAATCAAAAAAATGACTTAATATAGTAAGGCATAAAAAGTCATAAAAACGACATAGTATAGTAAGGCATAAAAAGTCATAAAAACGACACAGTATAGTAAGGCATAAAAACGACATAGTATAGTAAGGCATAAAAAGTCATAAAAACGACATAGTATAGTAAGGCATAAAAATGACTTAATATAGTAAGGCATAAAAAGGCATAAAAACGACATAGTATAATAAGGCATAAAAAGTCATAAAAACGACACAGTATAGTAAGGCATAAAAACGACATAGTATAGTAAGGCATAAAAAGTCATAAAAACGACATAGTATCATAAGGCATAAAAAGTCATAAAAACGACATAGTATAGTAAGGCATAAAAAGTTATAAAAATGACATAGTATAGTAAGGCATAAAAACGACATAGTATAGTAAGGCATAAAAAGTCATAAAAACGACATAGTATCGTAAGGCATAAAATGTCATAAAAATGACAGTATAGTAAGGCATAAAAACGACATAGTATAGTAAGGCATAAAAAGTCATAAAAATGACACAGTATAATTAGGCATAAAAACGACATAGTATAGTAAGGCATAAAAAGTCATAAAAACGACATAGTATAGTAAGGCATAAAAATTTATAAAAACGACACAGTATAGTGAGGCATAAAAACGACATAGTACAGTAAGGTATAAAAAGTCATAAAAACGACATAGTATCGTAAGGCATAAAATGTCATAAAAATGACAGTATAGTAAGGCATAAAAACGACATAGTATAGTAAGGCATAAAAAGTCATCAAAACGACATAGTATAATCAGGCATAAAACGTTATAAAAATGACATAGTATAATAAGGCATAAAAATTCATAAAAAGGACTTAATATAGTAAGGCATAAAACGTCATAATAATGACATAGTATAATAAGGCATAAAAAATCAAAAAAATGACTTAATATAGTAAGGCATAAAAATTCATAAAAACGAAACAGTATATTAATGCATAAATGTAATAAAAATGACATTGTATAGTAAGGCATAAAAAGGCATAAAAATGAAACAGTTTATTAAGGTATAAAAAGGAATAAAAACGACATAGTATAATCAGGCATAAAAATTCATAAAAACGACGTAGTATAGTAAGGCATAAAAACTAATCAGTATAGTAAGGCATAAAAAGGACAGAGTATAGTAAGGCATAAACATTCATAAAAACGACAGAATATAGTAAGGCATAAAAAGTCATAAAAACTACATTGTATAGTAAAGCATAAAAAGGACATAGTATAATAAGGCATAAAAACAAATTAGTATAGTAAAGCATAAAAAGTCATAAAAATGACAGAGTATAGTAACGTCATAATTTAGTAAGGAAAGTATTTTACTTTTTAGTTTTGACTGCAAAACATTTCTATGAAGGACTCTTACTTTGAAGCAGTATTTATGTACATAAGTATGTATATATTTACCTATATATGTATGAGTGTATGTATGCATGTCTGTATACATGTGTATAAGTATGTTTATATGTCTGTATGCATGTATGATTGTATGTATGTGTGTACATAGGTATTTTTATATGTATGTAGTTATGTTGTGTTATGGATGGTCACAAACTGGGCCACATGGCCACGACAAAAGAGGGAGATGCATACAAGCAAGCCAGTTAACGAAATGTTTTATTTATCTTTTAAATCTTGGGGAAGAACTTAAACCAACAACTGCAGGTATAATCTGTGAGATCAGCAGTGCAGGTGAGTGTGTGAGGAAGTGTGTGAGTGTGATGTTGAATGCTGCAGAAACAGACACAACACAAACCTAACTGGTTCCTGAGGGAGGAGACAGAACCAGAGCTGAGCTCCAACATGGTTTACACAGGGCCCAGGTGTGCTGATGAGCCCAGGTACTGACAACCCTTTGTCACACCCACCTCCAGTACCTGCAAAGGAAGCAGCCACACACAGGAAGCAACAGGTACACAGGTGGAGAGGGTCGTCACTGTGTGTATTTGTTGTTCCCTTCTTCCAGTCCAACTGGGTGTTCACTATTATACCCAGTATGTATGTATATGCATGTGTAAATCTGTCCACTGTTTCTGCTGCATATCCAGGACCAGCATGCATTAATTGAATTAGTTGTATAATTAGGAAGTTTGTTATATGCTGCTGGAAACTACTGAAAAAATGTCAATTAATAATAATTGACATGTTGCTGCTCCTGGTTTTACTGTCATGGATCTCTGTCAGGATTATCATTAAAGTGGTAATAATTATTAATTAATTAGCAATGAATTAAATCTCATTCTGTGCTGGACTAAAAAAAGTCACCATGTTGTGTTGTTGTACATTATAGAGGCAGGTTACAGCCTGTGTGAAGAAATCAATTCAATTCAATTAGCCAGTCAGTTAATGAGTCACGGTGTCGCTCTCTGTATCTCCTCTGTTAATCGGCTCAGAGCTCACACATTCTCCTGCCGCTGTGATCGCTGCAGCAGCTTCTTCAGCAGACCGCGGCCGCCCTCAGAAAGAGGCGCCGTTGTCACGAACACGTACGCGATCGTTTAAAGACTCTGAGGAGACGACGACGCCGTCGCACAGCAGGAGCCTCTCACTGTTTGTTTCTCCCCTGGAGGAACAAACCATGAGTCAGCAGGTTTCATCGAACAAACCAAACCACAGCTGAGGTCGGGCAAAGAAAATGTCACCTGGACCAAAGTGTTCATCTTACCTTTATTACTTCAACACTGCAAAACACTTTGTCTTTACAAATAATAATTAGTGGCAACTTTTACAGAACTATCTTGTATTTAAGTAAATCATGAGGCAATTAGGTAAAAAATTAAGTGTCAACAAAACAAACAACTTTGGTTTTCATGGGAGAAAAATCCAGAATATCACAGCTCACACCTCCTGGTCACTGTCCTCTGGAGGTTTTCCAAATATGTGCGATTGGGAGGAACTCTCTGGAGGGACTACATATCCCATCTGCCCTGGCAACACCCGGGATCATTGCTGGTGAGAGGGACGTCTATGGGTGGATTATACTCTGTCATGTTCATATCTGATCTCCCTTTTTCCTCGTGCGTCTAAAATGTCTGATAATTGTGTAAAATGCCGTTCGCTGTTTCCCAAAGTGACGTCTGAAAACATGTTTTCAGCCGACCTGAAATCCAAAACCTAAAGATATTTATTCAGCTGTAACACGAGAGGAAGAAATGAGCTGGAACTAGAGGAGCTTTCACGCTTCTGCTTGACAGTTTGGGATTGTTTTTCTGGTGATGTCAGTGTTTCGTGATAATCAGCTGATGGATTCACTGTGAGCAGCTACAACAACCTGCGGCAGACAAGGTGAAACGAACAGGAGTCCGTCAGTGGTTGGAATAAAGACCTGCAGCTCGTCTTCACGTCCAGAACCAGTTCGTCAGAGTCGCCTCATCGGGCTCCTCAGTCACGTCCTCTGTGACCGGCTCCGCTGGGTCCTGCTGAGACTCCGACTCCTGATGAAGCCTCTGAGGATCTGAAGGACGCCTGGAGGATTTCTTCTTCTTTTTCTTCTTCTTCTTCTTCTTCTTCTTCTTCTTCTTCTTCTTCTTCTTCTTCTTCTTCTTCTTCTTCTTCTCCCTCAACAAACTTCCTTCAGGTCACAGAGGCAAAAAACACAACAAATACAATTCACTAACAGGAAGTAGACTCTGTTTCATTTGTAGGAACTGATTTAAATTAATTTGATGAGGGACACTGAGTTGGGACAGTTTATTGAGCAAATACTATGAAGTTAACGGTAATTATTTTGTTTAATATGTAAGAAAGAAACACTCGTCTCTCTAATTAACAAGTAGTTTTGTTATTACAGTATTTATACATCGTGTTATTACATGTTTATCATCAGAGAGGCGGGAGAGCAGAACTGTGGTCTGGTCCTCTATCTGCTGACGTGACATCACAGCTCTCATTAATGAAAAGACAAACACACACACACACACACACACACACACACACACACACACACACACACACACGCACACAGATACATGCACAGACCTGGCTCTTCATTAAAATCACAGTCCGTTCCCCCACAGCGGTTTCCTGAGGGACGACGAGTCTCTGCCGGTCTCTGTGGACGACACCTTCATTAACACACACTCACACACATCAGGTCATAGATTAAATACACCTGCAGCACTGATCAAATATAACATACATATACAGTATCAACACACACACACACACACACACACACACACACACACACACACACACACACACACACACACACACACACACACACACACACGGTCTGTGTGAGCAGTGATCAGTGTTTTCTTTCTCCCAGGCTCTCATGACCCTGGAGACTCAACAGGAAACTATGAGGCTGTGTGTGTGTGTGTGTGTGTGTGTGTGTGTGTGTGTGTGTGTGTGTGTGTGTGTGTGTGTGTGTGTGTATTAACTAAAGAAACAGAACAACATCCCAGAATCCTCTTGAATAAGCCGATGACAGTCTGTCTTTGTGTCGCGGTCGAGCTTCACACTGACACCAGAGACAAACTGTTCGCTGACAGAGAACAATAAAGTTTTGTCACGGCTCAGAAGTGCTGTGATTAAACAGAGGACAGTCATGCTAACAGCTCTGTGAAGCTACATATGATGTTTGTTCACATCAGGCTAAACGTGTAAACTCTTCTTCTTCTTCTCTGGTTCAACGCTGCAGTTTAATCTGTCTGAAAACACAACCAGAGAAACGTGTAAAAGAACGACTGTATATTAATAATTCAGCAGGACGAGACTGAACGGGCTCTTATCACACATTTTAAATGTTGATTCAACCAATGACGGAGCAGAATCTGCAGTTAATGTAGATTTGCATGAGACGTCTCTGTCCCACGTCTCATCTCATGTTTCTGAGACGCAGTTTTGTTGCAGACGAACGAGTGAATTCTTCTGTTTTCTGTGGTTATTTCACTTCCTGTCTTTGTGTTTCCCTCCTTGTAAACTGATGTGTTCCACCTGTTCTATGACACGTCCCTCCCGTGTGTGTTTAAGTCTCAGCATTTAGATTTTCTGTTTGTAGCACTTCCTGTTTTTTCCTGAGGATCTCGTGTGTGTGTTTGCTTCCTGGTGGTTTTGTGCGTTTCGTTTGTTTGAGTAAAACACACTTGCATTACACTTGGACTGTCGACATGTGGGTCCAGCCGTCCTAAAACCTGGAGGCTAAAGGGCGTGTGATTAGTTTAAAAAGAAAGCAGTCACTGGATGAATTTAAGTTTTGACCTGATGATGGCGCTAGATGAAACGTCATGAGGATTCATCCTCTGGGAGCCGTGAATAAGCGAGCTCGGACAAAAAGCTGCTGGTGTTTGTGTTTCAACAGAAACAGAAAGATTCTCTGTTTTTAAATCTCGACTTTGTTCAAAATCCCACAGAACGTCTTTTATTTGCTTCAGACCTTTAATAAGAGACAGAAAACCTGAACGACGGTTATAAAATACTGAGATTTCTATCTGTATAAACATTTAAATAATATAAATACAAATATAAATGTATAAAAAATGTGTGTTACCTCTGAGTGATCCTATCTGTACTTGAGGGACGTTGCTCAGGTCTGTAGGTAAACCCACATACACACCTCCGTAGTTTCTGATGTCACAAACACGCACGCACACACACACACACACACACACACACACACACACACACACACACACACACGCACATTAATTATTTTTTTACATAAAAAGATGTGACATGCTCTGAAAATCAAAAATAGTGACTCACTTCCGTTTGTCGTCTTCAGCCAAAGACTCATTTGATCTGTCCACACACACACACACACACACACACACACACACACACACACACACACACACAGATTAACCTGTGTACTGAAGTCAGTGGATCTAAATTAACATATAAGCTCAGAGAAAGGTCAAACAACACTGACATGTTTTAACATCAAAATGTGTTTGAAATGTGTGTGTGTGTGTGTGTGTGTGTGTGTGTGTGTGTGTGTGTGTGTGTGTGTGTCTAACATGTGCTTACGCCTTTAATGAAGACTCAGCCCGACCTGAAGTCACAGACAGAGATATGAAAACGATCAACTGATTAAACCATTAAATGACTTTTTCATTGATTTGATTCAGTTTTTACAGTTAAAATGATCAGAGACATTTTCACGTCTCTTTTATTATTATTTATGATTCTTATTATTATGACATTAATTATCAGCTGAGACACGTCAGGGTCGTTTATCCGTCGACACACACCTCAAGAACAATTAGAAACCGAAGAATTAAAACATGTTAATTAAGAACAAACAAAAATCATTGCTGGAAAACCCTGAAACAGCTTTTATACATTTATATGACTGATCATTTTTCAAATAATAATAATAATAATGAGCAATTTGAGGAATAAAAATCTGAATAAACTATTGATTTGAAGAGTTTTCAGTTTGTCCTGAAGGTGGCAGCAGAGAGAACGATCTCAGGTTCATCAACTGAACAAGGATGTAAATAAACTGTTATTTTATTTTATTTACATAAATTTGTATCATCACATAAATAATACATTATGATTAAATTGGTTATCATGCTTTCCAAAATAAGATCAGTGTACCAAAATAAAAGCCGCTTAAATTGCTGCATTATAATGTACTAAAACAATCACCTATAATTTCATTGATCGCATCCTGAAACTTTTTGATACATTTTGTTATTATATAAAAAATGTAAAAAAAACCCCTTTAAACTCAGTAAATAAAGTTTCATTTCTATCTTTCTATTTCTAAAGAGAAATGACGTTTACTGCATTATCTTTCATTCATGAGTTCTAGTGTCTTTTAGGAAAATTTCCCATTTCCCATAAGGCCTAGACCTTCACAGGCTAAAACTGCGTTCATGTCAGTTCAGGGTTACCATAGTAACCAACATCGCCCAAGAACAGGGTTCATGTTTTCAGAAAGACAGAAAAATGCAGAATTATAGATCCTGAGTTTAATATTATCATTAATATTTATAAAAACTTTCCCTGAGGATAGAAAAGTCTTTTTTATGTTTGTAGTGCAACATTTATTTATTATTGTTATTACAGAAAGCACAATAGCCAGTTTCCTCATCACCTCTCACTTCCTGGTTTGATTTAAATGCATTATATTAAAGTAATATTTCTTTTTTTTTTCCACCTAAAAAACTGTAAAAGAACATTAAGTTTTAACAGACGCTCGTCTTTTCATCGTCTTCAGAAAGAACATCGTATCCTGACAACAACCCAGAAACAAAGTGCAGTCGCCTCCCTGTTTTTACAGTGTCATCACTCCCTGAAAACTTTACGTCCAAAATGTCAAACATCTTCAACCTCCAGAAAGTCCAAAACAGGAAGAAGAAACAACATCAACACAACGCTGATGTTTCACCTCCTCAGCTTTTAAATGCTTAAAAAACATCACGTACTGTTCCTTTAAAAGACAAACACAACATTTACATCTGTTATATATTCTACTACTTCACTCTCAGTGTCTCTCACCTCCTGTGCTGCTGCTGCTGCTGTTGTTAGTGGCTGGAGAGGAATTTCCACATCCCATCTCTCATCCGACTGAAAACCTCAGAGAACAGAAAAGAGAAGGACAAAAACAAATGAGAGAAAGAAAGAGGATGAAAACGTCTTTTCCCTCCAATTCTCTCTGTTTGTTTCCACTGCAGCTCTCGGCATGAAGAGAGGATTAAAACGACAGCAAGAGAGAAGAGGAGGAGGAAACTGAAGGAAAGAGAGAGGGAGGGAAAGTGTGTTCACCCCTGCTGCTGAGGGAGCAGAGTGTGTGTGTGTGTGTGTGTGTGTGTGTCTCGTGGTTTTAAATCTCCGCACAGTTTGAAGGAAGCAGATCAAAGTCAGACAGAATCGATTTAATTGGACCGTTTGTGCCCAAACAGCTGATGTGGGAGAAGGGGGAGGGGTGTTAAAAAAGGTGTGGTACAGGTGGAAACACACCTGAATGAAACCGAACCTCCTCCAACACACACACATTTATTTTACACTGTTGTCTGTAGCAACACACTGTAAGAATACACAGTAAGAATACTGCAGTCATATACATATATATATATATATATATATATGTATATCTGAAACTATCAAAAACTAGACTGTTTTGCAAATGTTTTGTTGGTCCACTTACAATATTGTTATTATTATTATTATTATTATTATTGTTATTATTATTATTATTATTATTATTATTATTATTATTTAAAGGAAACTGAAGTTTTTGTGTTTTAGAAGTCACTCCCCTCAGTCTCCTCCATGTTTTATCTTGTTAATTAAATTGCAACATTAAAACATTAGTCACTACAGCGCCCCCTCCAGGACAATTAACTTTATTTTAAATTGAATCAAATTGTGCAAATACAAATAATAATAATAAAAAAAAAAAAGACCATGTGCTGGTTTGTGATTGGTTGATAATAACAGACTCTGTGTTTCTATCCCGACAGTAAAAGGTGGAGGACGAGCAGCAGGAGAGGAGGAAACACTCAAAATCACTTTTCAATCGCTCTGGTTTCCTTCCTCTCTGCTGCTTTTGTGCCTCAACATAAAGTGACTCATGCCGCACACACACGCACACACACACACGCACACACATGACTCTCACATGAACACAGACACACACACTCAGCGGCACTCACTTCAATTACAGGGTAAAGCAAAGTGACTTTCAGAGTGTAATTGAGTGTTCATGTTGTTTCCAGCAGGAAGTGAAAATGACGTGTGGACACAAGCCGAGGGTTTTCATCACAAAGTGCCTCAGTGTGCTGAGACATGAAGCATGTACAGGATGTTCAGGATGTTCAGGATGTTCAGGTTCATCATTATTTATAGAATAACAAAAGGCGAGTTTTCACAATTTGTTATACGCAACAAATGACTGTTTCATTCTAGATTAATTAGGTGGATATTTTCTCAGGTAACTGATCGACTGGTTTGTAAAAGCTCATTATCACAATCACCAAGAGCCAAAGTGACAACCTCAAATCACTTGTTTTGTTTGATCAATAGTGGAACTTCAGGATTATTCAGTTTAAAACCAGGAAAAACTCCATTTTCAGAAGCAGGAACCAAGAAATGTTTGTGATTTTCAACAATTAATCAGTTATTAAAAGAGTTTTCATTTTCTCTTCATTGACTAACTGCCATTTTTAAGTTTTCTTCAGTATCAAATCAAATCAAGTTTATTTATGAAGCACATTCAACCAGAGATGACTGAAGTGCTGTACAATGGTATAATATAATATAATATAATAATATAATAACAGCTAGGATGTGATGTCTTAACTATCCTGTAGTCCGACACAGACAGGGAACACCGCAGATAAAAGTGAAAGATGAAACCTGTATCACAGTGATCCAGTGACAGGAAGTGATAATATCTAATTCATCTAATTCATGACAAGATTATTCAGAACTAAAATATGAATTACACGTCCTTCGTTTTGCAGTGGTGAAACGTAACTAAATACATTTACCTAAGCACCTGAGTGTTTTCATTCCATGCTCCTTTATACTTCTACTCGTCTCTACTGCACTACATTCATCAGCTCACAGCGTGTCTCACTGAATCCATGGCAACAAAATACTTTGTTTACAACCCCAAAGCATTATGGGAACTGCAGCTCAATTGACATTCCTCCATCAAGCAGCTGAAAAACATGAGCCGTCTTTACAGTATGTGTTGAAGCTGTTGTTTAAAGGTGTAGTTCTCCACTACGAACACAGGGGGGCAGTGCTGTCATATATTTATCTCTACTGTGTCTCAAATTTAAATACACAGGTCAGAAAAACAGAAACAGAAATAAATGTAGATGTAGTTAGAAGTTCTGCAGAAAACACTATCACCATATTCCCAGCTCTCACCAGATTGCACCATCTGTTCAATGAGGAAAAACACAGTCAGTTTCAGTTTAACTTTTTTCCCTCAGAAATGAACTCAGAGTCAAACCTTTCCTTCCACGGCAGCTCTAACTGATGCAAATTCAACACAAGGGAAAGATAATTGTAATTCAGAACAAACACACACTTATTAATTATATATTTTCCTAATGGAGGAGCCGACACCTACCCATGAATTTGAATCCAGTGCTGAGTCTGTGTGGAGCTGAATGGGAGATGTGTGGGCAGACATCCTTGAACGATCTGTTTCTATGAATCATAAACAGGAGGATCCTCTTCAACTCGTGTCCTTGCCTCAGGCTACCTGAGGTGCATCAGTGCTAACTCATGCTAGCCTTACATTCCACGAGTTAGCAGCTAATGCTACTGACTTTTTTTCATTTTCTGTTATGTTACTAGCAGTGTGTAATGTAGCTCAGTGTTAACCTTGTGATATCAAAAGTTGCTTAAGCCTTAGAATCAGAGGTTAGGAGGAGCTAAAGCTATCTCTGTAAGTGTAATGACCAAAATTTAGCAGCTCATGGCAGACTTCTAATTTCCAAAGGTCGCGCTGGCCAAACATTAGAGGTTTAGCAGCTAATTCCAGCCTTACACTGTGGAAACTTTAGTACTTTAGCAGCTTATGCTAGCTTTGTAATGTCCAAACTTTAGAAATGCCAGCCTTACATTGTGGAAACTTTAGAACTTTAGCAGTGAAGGCTAGCCATTCATGTCCAAAGGCGCTAAACCTAGCCTTGTATTAATCAGAGGTTAGGAGGAGCTAAAGCTATCTTTGTAAGTGTAATGGACTAGACTTTCTAAAGGTTAGCGGCTAATGTATTAGTTAATGCTAGCCTTATAATGTCCAAACTTTAGAAGTTTAGCAGCTAATGCTAGCCTTATAACGTGGAAACTTTAGCGGTTTACCTAATGCCAGCCTTACACGGTGGAAACTTTAGAACTTTAGCAGTGAAGGCTAGCCATTCATGTCCAAAGGCGCTAAACCTAGCCTTGTATTAATCAGAGGTTAGGAGGAGCTAAAGCTATCTTTGTAAGTGTAATGGACTAGACTTTCTAAAGGTTAGCGGCTAATGTATTAGTTAATCCTAGCCTTATATTGTCCAAACTTTAGAAGTTTAGCAGCTAATGCTAGCCTTATAATGTGGAAACTTTAGCGGTTTAGCTAATGCTAGCCTTATACTGTTGAAACTTTAGGAGTTTAGTAAGAACTTGTGTGACTGACAGAGATTATAGAGATTGTTTACAAGATAATTCAGGTCTTGTTTGTTCTGTTGATGTTTATTGATAACTTGTGCGAAAACTTACAAATCATTAAAATAAACATAAAATAATAAACATTAAAAATGAATAGATAAGCAGTTAGAAAAGAAATCATTTTGATATTGTCTCATAATGTTTAGAACTATAACTGACTCAATATGTAATAACTCATTCATTTAGTCACATATTTAGACAAAAGTGAATATAAAGTTGAAATTTTTAAATTAAACTTCATGATTATATTTGAAATTATAATTTTGAGACATTAAGTCAGAATTTGAGAAAGTAAGTCAAAATTTTGAATGACCATAAATATTTTATAATTTACTTAAATGACAATCATCATCATCATGATATCATTTACTTCACTTTTAGTCAAGTACAGATCGAATATAAAGCGAGACCATCAACACGATTAACACATTACAGCTTTTCAGTTTTATTTTTTTTGCTTTTAATATAAGATTTCCTTCAAGAACCAGGCAGTTTACATCAGGTCAAGTTCAGAGTAGGATTCAGGATCTACTGTGGTGTTTTACAGCGTAATGAAACATTAAACAGAAGAAATGCCAAAAACTATACTGAGGTCTGACGTCGTAGGAGTGACTGAAGCCTGCAGTCACTGCAGTTTCAACATGGCACAGAGGATTTTTTTTTATGGAACAGCATTTAATATCAAACAGTACAAAAGTATAAAAACCTGATACTTGGCAAAAATAAAGTTTAGATGAGAGGAAAATGTGCAGAAGGCCTCTGAGTTTCAGTCCTGAAGACGACTGCGTTGAGTCTGAGCTGCAGACTAATGCTGAACAAGACGATGTGAGGAAGTTCGCTGACCGGTGACCATGTGTTAAAACAATCACACCTGTTGTTTGGTTATTGGAGCTGCTCTGAACTTGATACACATTAGTCTATATGCTGTATATAAAAAATATACTGTGCTGTGGCTGAGGGTTCAGTTCACAGATTTGATTCCCAGTCATCAGGTCGTCTCGCTTTTTCATTTAAACCAGTGATTCCAGCTCCTTTTGGCTTGAGACCCTTTAAATCAACACATACTTGTTTTGGACAGTTTATCTATTTATTTATTTTGCATAATTCAGTCGACAGGTTTATTTGTAATTGTGCTTTATAACCAGGTAATGACATGTAACAACATGTTTGTTACTTCAAGGTTCACAATGTTTGTGGATGTGCTGCACAGCTTCCACCACCAGGTGGTGCTTTTGAGTTATTTTTAATCTTACTCAGTTTAAAGTTTAAAGTGTAAATCTATATAATTTATATAAATAATTTATATGAATTTAATATCAAATTCATATAACATTTGATTTCATATTATAACATTTATTTTATTATTTCGTTGCTTGTTTATTCACTTATTTGATATATTTCACATATTTTATTTCACATATTTTTACATTTATCACTTGTGTTTCTATTTTTATTGTTTTTATTATTTATTTATTTATCATTTATTTATTTTTGAGAAATTTGTTTGAATGTATTTGTTGTTTGTTTTGTTATTTTATCGTTGTGAAGCACATTGTTATCTCTTATTTTGATAAGTGCTCTATAAATAAACTTTATTATATTATTTATTTGTCTGGTTTGTATTGTATGTTTACGTTTGTGCTTGTGTATTTCATGTTTTATATCTCTAAAGTCACTTGAGTATTTTGTTGATTTCTAGCAATATAAAGTTGAGTTGGTGTTGAAGCAGATGTAGAAGAAGTAAAACTTCCTCTACTATTGAGAAGCTACAGAGAAACACAAACTTGAGGCTTCTTTGTTTTTGAGGTAAAGTGCGTAAATGAGGCCTGAAGACATAAAACTAAAAAAGAAATTAAGTAAAAAACTAAAGAAAATTAAAGAAATGTGATTTTTTATTATTTCCTATCTTGTTAACCTTCAGACTGATTTTGTCACCCTATGGGAGTCTCAAGCTAAGCTAAGTCACTGGACTAAATTGTCCTGTAGGATATGAATGCGATGAAATCTTTAGTGTCATAAATCAAACGCACCTCAGTGAGTTCAGACAGAAGTGTAATGTGTGGCGTCACCAGGATCACTTCATGTGTCTTTATAATTTCCCCTCCTGGACGACGATTACGTCCTTTTCTCTGGTTTAAATACGACCCTCTCTAAAAACGGCTTCCTGTCCCTGAAGGTGCTAATTTTAAAGTGCTCCTCCTCGCTGTAATATAAAATTACAGCCCAGCTCCACCAAACTTAATGAACCTTATCGCTCCTTCACATGCTGTAACATCTCAGCAGGGAAGACTTGTTATCTCAAGATAAAATCCTCAGGCAGTGGAGCGTTTTCCTCCCATGACCCTTTAAATACAGTGAACTTCCAGCTGCTTTTTGAGGAAGAAAACCCAAATTAAAACCTGCTTGATCCTGTGAGGGTGAAAAAGGAAAAAGACAGTGTAGTTGCACTTTGTGTTTCTGTTATTGTTGCATCTTTTTCTCTTTTCCTCTGTCTTTTCCCTTAAAATGCACATTTTCGTTGTGAGATTTTTCAAGATTTTTCACTTTTTCAGAAATGTGAAGTTAATAAATATTTTCCCACATTTGTTCAATACGTAATTTCACTTCTCAGGAGGTTTTCAAAATCATTTCTCCATGAGGAATAAGGCTCAGAGAGAATCACTATAAGGCCCTTTAGTCACAGCAGCGTTTAAAACTGCGAAGTTCTGCAGCAAAATAAACAAGTTTCACTGAAATGACTGCAACATGTGAATCAGATTCTGGGGTGAAGTGAATCTGTGCAAACGTTTAGTGTCAAGTGCAACTTTGTTGAACCTTGGACACGAGAATTCCCGCCGTGGAGGAAACAAAGAGTCTGATAGTCGAAAACAGAGGAAGCTATTACAGTATATCCTAAAGGCATCGACTTTTATATCCCCTCCCCGAATGTATAAACTGTCAACTTATTGTCTGGTTAGCGACCAAGTTAACTAGCTGCTGTAGTTTGTCCGTTACACCAGATATTCTGACCTATAACAGGAGGAAAAGCACAGGTGTTATTAGAAACGTTAACAATCGCTCTGTTCCTGTCCCTAAAGGAGCCTGAAACTGAAGCAGCTAAATGGAATTCAACCGTCATTATTTTTGGCTGGAACGCAGCAGCAGGACCAGCCCTGTAATCATGAATGTCTCTGACTGACTGACTGACTGACTGACTGAGTGATTATATTTCCACCACTGGTCAGTCGCAGTCTATCGAGCTGCTCTGGTTTTCCCTGCTGCTCGGGAACTGCAGTGAAGAGGAGGAGCACTTCAAATACACTGAGCCTCGCCTCCATTAAAAGCTAAAAGCAAATAACCTACTTTGATTCCATGTGTCGTTATTACTAAAGGAGGGAGAGAGAGTAGTCATCGGTAACGAGGCTTCGTACTAACGACTACGACCAAATCTACATATCAAACAGTAAATAAAGCCGTAGTAAAGCTGAAGTAAATAAAAGCTGTTGTCTTTCATTTATGTGTTTGGTGATTTTGTCAGACGACGTCACAGTTATAAAATCAGGATTTGACCAGAGATGGTCAGGGACTAGGTCTGGACCTGGTCTTGGTTATTTAGACCTGTGCTTTTCCTGCTGCAACGACTCAAAATGGCCCCCAGTGAAAAAGGCCTGTTCGCTCTGTTTTGCGAGGATGTGATGATGCTTTGACCAGGGCTTTACGCGCCAACCCTTTGTTCTCAAAGGAGACTTTTTGGCGGTAAACCCAAAATCCGGGCGTCAAAACGTCTCTTTAGAAACCTCTGGAGGACGACGTGTTCTTGTTCTGTTTTGTTTTCTTGCAGGTCGAGGGTTCAGCGTTGCTCATAAACTCTCCAGCACACCTGTCAGGTGTTGCTGCTGGAACTGAACCTGCGACCTTCTGCTGACCAGAGGTCACGCCGTGCGCCAGGCCACTTCAGTCTGTCATGGATCGGAGCGCCGCCACAAACCAGAGCGCCACGACTACGCCTGTCCACGTGGGCCTGGTGATGGCTCCGCCTCCGCCTCCCTCAGCGTGTAACGTGTAGTTACAAGTAGGGGTGGGGCTAGTTTGGGTGGGGTTAGTTTGGGTGAGGTTAGTTTGGGTGAGGTTAGTTTGGGTGGGGTTAGACGGTGTGCGTTGTAACAGGAAGTCGTGTTTCATGGCGGAGTAGAGGCCAGGACCATACGGGACGTTCAGTGTCTCCGTCAAAACCTCATGACCCGGGTACGTCACCTGTCAATCAAAGACATCACAGTGTGATTGTAATGACACAGTTCTACCACTAGAGGCCACTGTGGGTGTGTGTGTGTGTGTGTGTGTGTGTGTGTGTGTTTACTGTGAAGCTGTAGTTGCCCGGCAGCAGCAGTCTGTAGTATTCTCCATGTCGGTCGGTTCTGAACGGACACATGTTCCTGCGACCTTTGACCTCCACCACTGCATTCTGCACCGGCACGCCAGAACTGTCAAACACACGCCCTTTGTCCCCTGAGCGCGCACACACACACACACACACACACACACACACACACACACACACACACAGATTGAATGAGTTGATTATTAAGTATCGATCCTGGTAAACACATAAACAGATCAACAAACCCCTATGGCAGCAGGAAGTGTATACTGGACCTCGGTTATCATGGATACAGCAGCGTACCTACTTTTGTCGCCATGGTTACTATATAATGTTCATGGCTTGGTTAGGTTTAGGAAAAGATGGTGATTTGGGAGAAAATAAGCAACTTACTCAAAATTCGACGGTCTTTGTTGACATTGTTACAACACAAACAGCTGGTTTCACATGGGAATCGAACACACCGCTCTCCTGTATCACGTTCATCCGTTCACCACAACTTCCTCCTGACGTGGACTCTGTCTCTCTTTATACCACGTCCCTTTGCTCCTGTCATCATCACTACGACCACTAGATGTTGCCTAGAAACAAAATCTCACTATGGGTCATAACAACCTGCAAGACAGGTGGACAGACAGGTGGACGGACATGTGGACAGACAGACAGCTACTGACCCAGGTGGACCTGGCGGATGAAGGCCAGCAGCGCCCTCCTGTTCTGGGTCCACAGAGCAGGAAGTTCTCTGACTGGAGGAAACTTGCAGCAGGAAACCTCCAGAGTCAACTCCAAACACTGAGCCCACACATAGTTATAGTCCTGCATCCCACCTACACACACACACACACACACACACACACACACACACACACACACACACACCCACACCACACACACACACACACACACACACACACACACACATTAAACACACCATCTGGAACAATAGATTTGTCTGAAAATGAAATACATCAGAAAAAGATAACAGGTATCTAGAAGAGCGTTCACCTTTCATTATTAATGAATTAACTACTATTAACTTCTATTGATTATTATCCGTCAATTAAAAAAAGTATAATTCTAGATGCTCAAATGAAAAGCCTTTAATAAATATGGACGACCAAACCACCAGGTAGTAAATCCACACACCTGTGTTGTGTGTAGAGTGTATAGTGTAATTATATATATACAGTATATAGATCTATATATATAAAAAGAGAGAGAATTACTACATGAAAATAAGTAACCTAACTCTGATTAATTATAGATTATAGGCTTTTACTCTGTAAGGTTAAACTACTGTCTCTGTTTTCACAATAAAAGCTCAGAGTTAATCTGACATGAATTCACACAGACAGAATGAAGCGTATGAGTCCTTCATGCAGAGCCTCAGGTGACGGGGTGTCAGGTGATCATGTTGATCGGGTTTCTGCAGCAGGAAACCAGAGGAGGCTCCCAGCAATGATTGATCGACCTCGATGCAAACACAGCAGCGTGAAGCTCTACAGGAAGTAAAGGTTAGAAGGTCGGGGTGGTGGAGGAGTGTGAGGTGCGTTCGCTGTTCATGCAGGAGGTGGGAGCGTTTGTCGATAGCTTTACAACCTGTCCTAGTAATCCCTCTATGTTCGGCTCTCAGAGCTTCATGTCTATCAGCACTAGGCTGTGTTCAGGTGAGGTGAAGGTGATTGGCTGTGTTCAGGTGAGGTAAGAAGCAGGGGCAGCGTGCTCACCTGTCAGAGGATACCACTGGTATCCGTTGGTGATGCCGTCGAGGAACGACGTGCTGTCGTCGCAGCGCTCGCCCCGGTGCATGGAGGCGTGGTTGTGGGAGTACACCTTGGCCAGGTGAATGAACACGTCGTTGTCGGGGGTGACGCTGGCTCCGCCCACCAGCTCGCTGCCTGGGAAAACAGAAATTATTTATATTTTTGTGTATTTTGTACTTTGTGTTTTTAATTTTCTAATCTTACACACAGCAGATGTTTAAATGTAAACATTCAAATGTAACTTTATTTGTTCAGCACATTTTATACATGAGGTGATTGAAGAATAAATTAAAGAATAAAATTTATATTTCAAAATAAAAAAAGCCAAAATTGAATTAAATGGAATCAGCTTAAGTCGAGTTTTCCCCTTGAGTTTATTGTCTTTCTTTATGTTTGTACCTTAATTTATTCATTTTTATATGTTCTATTCTTTAAGTTTTGTAAGAGACTTCCAGATTAAATAAAGGGTTAAATTAAATATAAAAAAATAAACCTCCCTGTTAATGACTGACAGCGTTATCACAGTGTTTTCTGGAGAAACCGCTTCAGTGTCTCCTGCCAGCAGAGGGCGCTGTCACACCAACACCTGCCTCACTGAAACTTTACTGTGAAATAACTTATATTATGAAATATGATAAAAATGCAGGTAAAGTAAGAAATTTAAACAAAAATTGACTCTTTTCTTAGACTACTTGCACATTTCTCGCATATTCTTGTTTTTCATACTGTAACTATTTCACATTCCCCCATTCATATTGCACACTGAACACATTTGTATTATATTTATATTTTTTCGTAATTTTATTGTAAATTTGTTCTATGTATACAGAAGCTATCTGACCTGCAGAACTTGCTTTGCTTTGTCTTTCTTTGTATTTTTGCTTCTTCTGTGTTTATTGTTACGAACCAAAACACCAAAGCAAGTGAAAATCTACTTGGCAACAAACTGATTCTGTTTCTGTTTCTGATTATTAACGCCTTCGCTGTATTAACGAGCAGCAACAGAAAGGAGTTTTCTTTTGTGTGTGTGTGTGTGTGTGTGTTTGTGTTTACCTGAATTGCTGTTGTCGTACGGATAACTGGCCACCAGCGCTCCTCCATGAAGATTCGCTGAGAGGACGAAACTCTCAGTCCTCAACCAGCCAATCACAGCCCTGACCTGTAACACGCGTCACACCCGGGACGTCAGGAGGAGTTCATTGTTTGTTTTCGTTGACAGTAAGAAGAATCAGCTGTTTGATGTTTCAACATTATTCAGTTTTCTTTGGTGGTAAAATGAAAAAGACTTTTACTTTGACACTCTCAGTACATTTCGCTGATGACACTTCAGCGCTTTTACTTAGAAGGACGTACCTCTGCCTCCCTCTTCTCCTTGTCAACCTGCTGTTGCCTTCGCAGACCAGCGAACGCATCGGGAAAGTTCCTGTTCAGGTCGATGCCGTTATAGTTGAACCTGAAATGAAAGAAGAGGCAGAAATATTCAGTTAAACTCCGGGAGCCCATTCGACAACACAACAGGAAGTGTTTAGCGTTAGACGTGAGCGGACTCGCTTCCTGTCATTATTCCTCAAACACAAATGAGAAACAACTGTGAGACTTTGCTGCTTTTAAATCATTGTAGATTAAAAATCTTTGGATTTTTGGCTTCTGGAAACATTTGGACATCTTATAGACTAAGTGCAGAAACCCTGAGAGGCAAGTGCTTAAATAAATGAATGAATAAATAAATAAATAAATTATCCCCCACCATTTCTTTTCTCTTGCCTCTCTGTTTTCAGATTAAAATAATTTAGAAAACCACTTAGAAGAAAACAACTCACTTGCATTTCAGGATTTCCAGAACTATGTGAGTTGCTGACAAAATAACTCGTACTTGTGTATTTAGAGACACAGCAGCTGCTGCTGAGGCTCCCTTGAGCAAGGCATTCGGGTTGAAAACTGTTTCCCACGATCCTCTGGCTGTGTCCAGGAAGTGAATGTATCTTTATTTATACAGCAGCTCCGGAGATGAAGAGCCACAGAAGACTCTGCCGACACATCTGGGCTGGAGAGATGCATCTCTGCAGAGGCGCAGCAGGCAACTGCTCGGGGCCCCAGGCTGCTGGGGGAGGGGGCCCCCGAGGGCTGACAAACTTAACTCCACAGCAGTGTCTCAAAGCCGCTCCCTCCCTCTTAAACAAAGTATGTGCTAAAGTATATTACAGTAAGTATAATACATATATACTATAGTATTATAAGTAAGTAACATTGCGCAATTTTTAAAAATGCTATATAATGCAATATATTTTCAATACTTGGTTTTAATGTGAACATATCACTTATTTCTCTCTTTGCACATTATGTTAAGGTCTTTGTAAATATCTCTACAAATGCAAGTACTTATGTACATACCTTCTTATTTATGGTTGAGTTGTTATTTTTCTACTTTATTCTATTGTTATACTTTTTGAACATTTGGAATAAAAATATAAGTTTCGATTTTGCACATTTTTGATTGGCTAGAATCGCCACTTCATCTCTGCTGCTGCCGCCATATTTACAGCAGGGCGCTGGTCCAGTCCAAATAACAGAAAACACACACACACACACACACACACACACACACACACACACACAGTCATGTCTCCATGTCTTCAGTGACTAACATTCATTTCCTGGAGACTTTCTCCAACCTTAACCATGACGAATGATTAATGATATATTATTACATTATGGGGACAGACTTTGGTCCCCACATCATGAGTAATACCTGAACCACAAGACACACACGTGTCCCCATAATGACACTGTGTAATCAGACGTACGTCCCCACATTGCACGGTACATTAGTAACAGTCAAAACACTTACAATTAGACACTTAGATGTTTGGACTGTGACGGTAGATCTGTGTCTGTGTGATACAGTTCGACAGTGTGCGTCTGGCTTCCTGCTTATCGCAGTGTTTTGGGCGTTGAAGCGTCGCATAGTTTAGTCTATACTCGACAAACATGTCGGCCTAAAGCCTTTAAGTCCTGTTTTGACATTTGGTATGGCGCGCACACACACACACACACACATACTCACACACACACACACACACACACACACACACACACACACACACACACACACACACACAGACGTTGACATGTATTGTAGCACAACTGAGGCAGATCTGTTTGTTTCTTCATCCTCTTAAAGGCCCAGTGAGATAATATATAAACACATTTCCCACATGTCTCTGTGCTGCTCTGTCATCCGTCAGAATCTGTCTCTGAGCCGTAATCACAATAATGTTTCAGAGTCACGGCTCAGGCGTGTGTTTGGACACGAGTCGTCAATAACATTCTTAACGTTTCCAAAAAAACATGATGGTTGAGATCTAATTTCTCCTTCATGTTTCACCCCCTGAATTAATGATGCGAGACCGTGGCATTTTGTTAAAGGAGGAAATAAAGACCTAAAAAGGAGAACATGTTGTCACTGAGAGTCAGAAGAGTCAGAATAGTTCATAAATGTATAAAAGGTTGGACTGATGAATGATCCGATCAAATTCTTGAGTAATTTGATAAAAAAAAACCCTCCTGAAATGATTCTACGCCCTCAAACCATTTTCACATGGAGACGCGTCACACCTGCAGGTAACATTAACATGTCAACACTCGTTCAAAATCCACAGTTTGAATGACCGTCTACAAACCACAGCAAACAACTGGAGAACCGCTCTTAATGTGCACCATGTGCACCACTAATAATACTTATGCAATTCGAGCCGATCCCGGGCGGCTCCTGAATTATAAATATCCTGGTGAGGCGAGGTCACTTCCTCTTCCTCTTCTCTCCACTCAGCGGTGAGTTACATCTGCACCATGTTGTTTAGATGTCATTAAATAGCTGCTAGCATAGCGATTAGCATCACTTGTAGGTGCTAGTTCTGTTAGCTTCATCGTTGCAATGCAGAATTCCCATAGAGAAACTGTCGATTTAAGATACAGTGTGCACTATTTTTTTCCCCCATTCAAAAGAAATGAACTCTGAATGCTTGGAGATAAATCGAACTAAACATTGCTTAATTTTGGTTTCTATATTTTTTGTTTGTTTTTTAAAGAAAAATATCATCGCACTACGATAAATATGATTTGAAACTTACCTGTGTCTCCTGGTCTTGGTGTTCGTACAAATCGGGCTCCGAAATGAGCCTAAATCTTCTTCGTCTGATCTGTGATTTAACTTTAAACTTTAAACTTTTGCTCTAGCTGCTGAATGCGCCACCATGTTCTGGGGCTGGTCGCATAAAACACCTGAAGTCTGAGTGAAGGTTTCCTTAAAATGTTTCCTTAAGCGTTCAAGGTTTTCTCCTTTTCTTAGTCTTATACTTAAGGAATCACTTAAAGTCAGATAACTGTTGCACAAAAGACCTTAGCAACCAAAGTAAGGAAGAAAACTAAAGGGACTTTGGACTCTGACGAATTTACGGGGATGAATGAAGAAAATGAACTCAACCCACTGAACAAAAACAGTAAATGTACCAAAATGTATATGTGTGTGTGTGTGTGTGTGTGTGTGTGTGTGTGTGTGTGTGTGTGTGTGTGTGTGTGTGTCTGTACCTGCCCTGGCTGTACTGGCAGTGTGTGCCGGCGTCATCGAAGCCATCAGGGTTCATCGTCGGCAGGATGTGGATGCGGGTGCTGTTCAGTAACTGCAACGACCAGGTTTCGTTGTTACGGTAACCGTGTACCAGGTTGTCAATTAGCTGGAGCAGGAGCACTCGGCCGAGAACCTGCACAGACACACAGCCGTGTTTCCGTCACTTTGGAGACTTTTCCTAACTTTAACCTAAAACCTCAAACTAAGTCTTCACCCTAAAATTTAACACTTTTTTGTGTGTAAACAGATTCATGTCCCATAACATGAATAATAAGTGCAGACACACACGCACCAATTCATTGTAAATTAAAAGTGAGAAAAGTATAAATTTAAAAGGAGGAATATGAAATATTGATTCTTGGCTTATTTTGATTAAAAAGTGAATGAAGTCTGGTGTTTCACACAAACTATCACTAAACTTCCTCTTGTCACTGCGGCTCCGTTTCACACTTTCATTCATTCATTTCAACTCAACATCAATTTTTTTTTTTTTTGACGTGACGTGACATTTCCGCTGGATGAGCCTGCATGTTCTGTCCGGATGGAAAGAGCGGGGGAGGAGGCGACGTCGTGAGTCAGCGAGGAACTGAAACGCAACCCGGAGACGAGTCAGAGGCCGGGGCTGTTTTTTTTCTCTGACACCGGCGGCTGATTGGACGGGACGGACAGAATTAGAAAAAAAAAAAAAACTTTGTGAATGAATGAGCGCCTCAGGAGGGAGAAAAAGAGAAGGGTGGGAAAAGGTGTGTGTGTGTGTGTGTGTGTGTGTGTGTGTGTGTGTACAAAGACACCACACACACTCTCACACACACGTTGGGACAAGCTCTGCCTCCGGCCATCATTTTCTTCTCCTCGATCACTCGTCTGAACTGTCTCTCCCTCTTTTCTTCCTCTGCTGCCATCACACAGAAACAGTTTGTGCTCACAGGATGAGGCTCTTCATTTTTATTATTGTATATAAATACAATGAAAACGCCACTAACAATTAATGTGTCTCACTAACAACTATCGTTAGCCGGATTAACACTCCACTGTTTCCAGAAACTATTAAAACACATCAACGGTTGCACAACAGTTAGATCTGACAAGGTAATCTGATTGGACGAGAGTCATTCCATGATATGGAATAGATCAGCACTGGGACTTTTAACCACATATATCACTCCGCTTCACAGGTGTTAACCGCTAATTAGTGATTAGCGGTCGTTATCTTTCTTAGATTGTAACAAACTTTGTAACAAAGATTCATATTTCCATAAATAACATTTGATCTAAATGATCTAAATGATGTGGTAACGTGTAATAGGCGAGTGTGCAGGTCAGGAACATGTTCACGTGTTGCTTGGCAACAGTCCAGTAGCAGAACTATTTGTGTTGGCGCTGCCAAAGAAATAAAATAAACAAACAAATCATGATCAGTTGTTGCTTATTTAAAGAATATGGCGCTCGGAGAACTTCTGTATAAGAGTTGTTGTCTGTTAATGAATGACGACCTGATGATGCTGCTTAATTACCTGTTGTGTGTTGTGAGGTGTGTATTGTATCGTGAGGATCTAAACAAACAAACCAACCAAACCAGCTGTTCACTTGTTACAATGCGTTGACTGTTGGTGGATTCCGTTACAACGAAAACATTTTGATATCTGGTTTTGTATCTGGTTTGGTATCAGATGGCTTGGTATCCCCCGGCAACCAACTGATCAGCTGTGGGAGGATACGGTGGTTTTTCCTCCAAGCTCAAGCAAGTTTAGACAACGAGATGAAAGGAGTGCGCCGTTGTTTACGTTGCTGTGCATTAGCAGACGTCGGCTGATGCTCAGTGTCGCAGTGAGCGAAGGTTGGGCCTCACATGATCAAAGGACCTGAGTTAACATGTCCTCACAAACAATAACAACCAGACAGTGTGTGTGCAGTCTGGAGCTGAGTGTCCTCGGAAAACACAAGAAACCCGGCTCGCCCTCATTTCCTCCTGACCACACACACACACACACACACACACACACACACAATGTGACCCTCACAGTCGATTCAAGAAAACAAGACGGATACTGTGAGCAGATAAGTGCTGAAAGGCGGTGGGCGCTCGCTGTTACGTCACTCAGTTTATCTGTGAACTTGATTTTTCCAGCTGACTTCATTTGTCAGGTCAGCTTTTACAGTTCCTGGTTATTAGTTACTCAACTCAAAGACAAACCTTCCCAAGCCAAAGAGAACATGTTTGCTTTTTTCCCGATGGCTTCAAATATGGAAAGTTTGTTTTCAGAATAACCAGGGCCATTTAAAAATGAGGAAATATTTGATGTGAATAACCTGGTTCAAGATTTATGATTGATGACAGTGATGTGGACAGACATCCCCAACTACAATCACCGCCTCACAGTTGTATCCCTCCGCCAACCACCCAAGAAGAAATTCCCTCAAGGCGGTCTTCAGATATCACATTCAATAGGCCGGAAATAATGCTTTGTGAGGTCACAGTGACCTTGATCTTTGACCTTTGACTATGAAAAACTAATCAGTTCCTTCTGGAGTCCAAATGGACATTGGTACCAAATTTGAAGAAATTCCCTCGAGATGTTACTGAGATATCGCGTTCAGATGTACGGACGGACAGACAACCTGAAAACATAGTGCAGCTGAGGCTCATGGGAAACACCTGAAGCAAGACGAAAAAGTCTGAGGGTCACCAGAGTGATTAAAACTCCTGAGGGGACCATGAACGCCTCGTACGCAAGTTTCACGGCAATACATGTAATTAGCTGTTGACACACTTCACTCAAAGCCACAGGGAAGGTCGGGGGATCATCACGGTCTTCAGGATTCATCCTCCGGGGATCACGGGCCAATCATTGATGAGATACCTCAGCCTTGACAAAAGCAGTGAACCGACTGAATGACATTTCCTTCTTCATCTAAAGTCCATGTTTGGTTAATGAGAGAGAGGAGTGAGCGGCGTCTCTGTTTACACTTAAATTAGTGAGAGATTAAAGCTGCTGAGAGACTTCAGTTAAACAAACCCAGGATCAGAGATATTAGCAGACAACTCCAATTCAAACAGATTATTTCCCATCAAGACAAGCTGCATTCCTGCTGCTGTTCTTCCTGAACATCTCTCTCTCTCTCTCTCTGAGGGTTTGATTTTGAATCGTGGACGCCGTTTGCTTTCTATGCCGCGAGTTTAGCCAAACAACAAGTTTCCCACCGGATGTACAAACAATATATGTGTTAAAAAACAAAACAAAACTATGAATACGCCATTTCCTACACAACCAACATAGCCAGAAGTATGTGGACAGTTGTATGTTGTGAAAGCATCACATGTGATTCTGACACCATTAGCATCAATCTGCTGTTATACCAAAGTCATTGGGATTAATCCTCTGGGGACCATGAATATCTGTACAACCAGTTATGCCATTCCATCCAGAAGACTTCCACATACATTTATATGAGTGAAACCTTTGGTGATCCCCTGACTGTTTTTATCTAGCGCCACCACCCACTCAAAGTCAGTAGGATTAATCCTCTGGGGACCACAAATGCCTCTAAAAGATTTCATGGCAATTCATCCATTAGTTGTTGAGATATTTCAGTCTCTGACCAGATGTGTATGGACATATAACATGTGATCCTGATAACATGGACATTAATCTCCTGCTAAACTAACTAGGATTCATCCTCTGGGGACCACAAATATCTGAACTAAACATTGTGCCATTCCATCCAGCAGATTATAAAATGCTTCACAGGATAAGGGAAACTTCTGAGCAGTTGGTGGCACTAGAGAAATGTCAGACGACCACCACAGTCAGCAGGTTTCATTCTCTGGGGACCATGAACATCTGTACAAAATCTAATCCATCCATTAGATGCTGTAATTGATTTCAGATAACTATTTAAACCATTTATTCCTTACTTGCTATTTTAACCATTTAACCATAATTTTGCCATCTCTGCCATTTATTCACAACGTATTTACTATTTGAGTTATTTATCTTTTAAGTTTATTATATTTCAATATTTTATCTAATACTTTTTGCTGGTAAGTTTAAGAAGTTTTCACACCCTCTAAACTGCAAAGTGTGCAGTTCTGTGTTCCAGCTGATGTAATGTACGTGTTCGTCTTAAAACAGTGTCACAGGAAATAAACTCAGTCACACAGAAAGTTATTTTCTGGGAAACTGCTCACACAAACGCAAACAGCAGACAATGATCTCTACACGACACCTTTTCAACTTTTCTACTGAGGCTACATTCCTGCTGTTACAATGTGTGTGTGTGTGTGTGTGTGTGTGTGTGTGTGTGTGTGTGTGTGTGTGTGTGTGTGTGTGTGTGTGTGTGCGTCTGCAGTGAAAAGACCTTTTTCTGGAAGTTTCCTCTGAACCGACACACTCCACTGACTCTGTTTGCTGACTGTGTGTGTGTGTGACTGTGTGTGTGTGTGACTGTGTGTGTGTGTGTGTGTGTGTGTGTATGTGTGACTGTGTGTGAGTGTGAGTGTGTGTGTGTGTCCAGGCGTGACTTGTCTATTTAAGGACATTTCCATTGACTTTCACACACATGCAGTGTGATCAAGCATTGACCGTAACCGGGGCAACCAGATGCTGGTCAGAGGTCCTTAAGCGTTTCCTTTACACTGTTTCTTATGGAGATTAATCAACATTTATTTTGCAGAAAAGGAGCCAGTTTATAAATTCATTGATCTGATTTGATTAAACTCTATATTTTTAATGTTTGTGTTTAATGGCCTCAAACAGACATTAAACTTTTCTGGCTGCTCATCATGTCACTGATTTTCCCACGGTGAGAACCTGACTCCTGCAGGATCTGCTGACTGCGGCAGAGAGAATAATCTGAAGAGTGTTGAGACACGAGGTTACAGCATCAACAAAGCTGAACTTCTCATCATCCCTCTTCTGCAGAGCTACAGGGAGCGACGAGGTCAGAGCTTCGACACCAAACACCGACCGTTCAAACTCACATATTAACCCGTAAATGTGTGAACGGTTTTACATTGTGTAACGCAGATAGAGCCAGACATTAAAACCACATCTTGTTTCAGGACGTATCACTTTATGAAATTTGACATTTGTCAGATCAGTGTTTTTTTTTTAGGTTGGTTCTTTAGGTAAAAACTCCAAAGCTCCTCTCTAGATTCAGTGTTTGGTTTGTCCACTCTGGGCTACTGTAGAAACATGGCGGCGCTCCCTGTGTAGGTACGAAGGGCTCGTCCTGAGCTAACGAAAACACAACAAGTCTTAGTTACAGGTGATTAAACACTAATGAAGACATCCCTCTAAATCCCACACACTGGTCCTTTAATATTTCTAGGCGTCGGCGCAGTAGTCACTAACCACAGCCACTTGTTTGTGGTTATTCCAACGTGGATGTGAGCAACACTCTAATGTGAGTTCAGAAGACGGATAAAGGGTTAATAAAACCATGTGACTGAAACAGGACTGAGGGTCAGCAGCTCTGTGAGGCGGCATTAAGGCTCAGTGCTGCTTCAAACATGCTAATGTTTAGCACGTTCTTTATCTTAGTTTAGCATGTTAGCATGGTAGAATTTGAGCTAAAACAAAAGTACAGGTGCAGCACACCTGAGTGTGAGGTTTGTTTTTCCTGTTGGTTGCTGATGCCGTTGTTTCTATTCAACTCATGAATCCATAGGTTTGTTTTATATTGTTGTCTCACATTTTAATGTTGACTCACCGTACTGTCTGTTTCCATCTGACACACACACACACACACACACACACACACACACACACACACACACAGTCTGTCGTCTGAATACAAAAGTATGTATGGAGTGTGTCTGACTTTGAATGGCTTATGTTGATCTCTTTAGTCTCCTTTTATTCCAGCTTCCTGTCAACAGGGAGGGGTCCACTCGTGTGTGTGTGTGTGTGTGCGTGTGCGTGTGTGTGTGTGTGTGTGTGTGTCTCACCTCGTTTCCATGCATGTTAGCCACATATTTGAACTCTGGGATGCCGACGGTGTGACGGCGTGGACTGCGGCCCACAGCCAACACCCACAGCTGCTGACCTGACAGAGACAGAGAGGAAACTCAGTTTTATACATTCAGAAAATTTACATTTGCTGCAGCTCGTTTGTTTGATTAGGAAAATACTTGGTTCACAGTGAAGCACAAGACTCTGCATGAGCCTTTGAGCTGGTTTGAGATCAGCACCTCCACTGATGCTGAACACTCAGAGGTAACAGACCTGAAAGCCGCACCCAGCAGCAGTTTTTCTATGAATCATGGGTAAAATGATTGTGTAATGTGAAAGGTGTTGCATGTAGAGACAAACCCACATTTAGAGTGATTACCTCTGCAGGTCCTCAGAGCATCAGGAAGCTGTTTTGATTCTGTCTCTCACCTGCAGGAGGCTGATGAACCAACTGTGTGAAGTCTACCTGCCACCAAACGCCACACACATGAAGCTGTAGCCACCAGCCGTGCTAATGCTAACAGGTTATCATGTTTACAACACGCCCTCCTCCCTGAACGACCATATAGGTTATTTGTTCCTGTCTGATACGAACCATAAGAGCGTTTATCTGATTCAGAGGCGTGAGGAGAAACATCTCAGATAAAGAATCACAATGCTACGCTAAAGGTTTGGTTAGCTTCAGGGAAAGTTTCAATAGAAAAGTTTTTCATTTAAAGAAAAAGTTTCTCACTTGATTTTACGTGTTCTGTGTATTTCACTTTTGACTCTTAATTATTTATTTATTTTTCATGTTATGTTCTTATTTCATTATTATTCCATCTCATTCTATATTAATGTTTTATCATGTTTTTATGTTCATTTTATGGCTCTTCATGTGAAGCAATGTCTTGGTAGTAAAGAACTTTGTGCTGCATTTCTTGTATGAAAAGTGCCAGTTTATTATTATTATTATTATCATTATTATTATTATTATTATTATTATTATTAGGTATTTAATGGTTTGGGATCTAAAAAAGTCGACCTTCTGGAAGAGAAGTCAGAGGATCATGATGCTCGAATATCTGCAGCAAATTTCATCACAATCATCAAAAAATAAATAAAAGTGATGTTTTCATATGAAAATATAAAATAACAGAAAGTAAAACATCGATATAAATAATAGAGAATTAGAACTGATTTATAAGAACTGATTAATGGAAGCTTTTCTAACATCTTTGTTTGGATTAGAGATCGTCTTTTCTATCATGAATATTTCCTTGTCCAGATGTTGAAGTCGAGTCTTTGAGGATTGAAACCAAGAGTCCGCCCGGACTGAACTGAAGCTAATGTTTACCAAGAGGAGACGGTGAGTGACTCAGCAATGTGTCGTTCATGACTGGATCTCCGCGGGACACAGAAACACAGAAAAAGGCGGAGTCGTTAAAAAGTTTTGAAAAGGCGATGATGATGATCATTAAGCAACATCATCCTCACAACCCTGAACGCCGTGTAGATCCCCACCGCCGTGAACAACGTCGCCAAACACACAAATTAAGTTTGTTTTGTTTTGACTGAGAAGCAGTGAAGTAAAAGTTTCCATGTTCACAAACACACGTAACTGTCAGTGCTGCAGAGGGAATGACGCTGTGCAAGACCCAGCAAGTCTGCAACACACACACACACACACACACACACACACACACACACACACACACACACTTGCACAGAAATTGGACGCAGGCCAGCTGGTGTCCTAGATTAGCTCAGATTAGCTTTGGGTGTGTGTGTGTGTGTGTGTGTGTGTGTGTGTGTGTGTGTGTGTGTGTGTGATTACCCAGATTAAGCCATCCCAGATTAAATTAACCTCAGTTTGCAGTCGAGTCATATGATCACACAGACGCCAACTGACACACACTCGGTCAGTGTCATGGTTGCTACAGTGACTGATATCAGTCAACCATCATCCCCTCTGAGTTTGTGTGTACACGTGTGTGTGTGTGCGTGTGTGTGTATAAAGTAATCTGCCTCTTTCTCTTTGTGTAAGATTCAAATGGAGAGGCTTCACATGCAGGATAAAAACTATTGACTATTGACTATTGATTAGAACGACATCCTGATCAAGAGGACGCCTCGTCACGCTGCCCTGTGACTGCGGAACAACAATGACCCTCCGTACCGGATTCGTACCTTTTACACAGAACGGCGAGGTGGAATAAAGACGTAAGATTCCCGCCTTGAACAGGCTGAAAGGAGCTACTGATTTACATAAATGTTGATTTAATATGTGTCCGACACTGATGTAACAGTAGACCAGTAAATCTGACAGACCTTTTCTTTCACAAGCTGCTTGATCCAAATACTGAAGTTCCTGGTTTGAAAAAGTTAAAGCTCCTCCAGTGTAAAGGTCTGTGTCCATGTGTAGTGTGATTATAGATCAGCTCTAGCTTCTATATTAATACTGTGAAAGTATCAAAGCCTCAGTCCACAGAGAAATGCACACAGCCTGTATTCAGAAACTGAGCCTTAAAACCAGCCGTCAGGACTTCTGGAACTTTGTGATGTCACAACAAAGCAGTCACCAAGCCCCGCCCACCTGGACCCACCATCCAAACCTTGCAGGATTTGGTTTCTCTGAGAGTTTTTACCTGAAATCTGCTATATTTTTATTGGATCAGAAAACAGTCAGCCAATCAGAAGAGAGGCTCAGAGCCTCCTCTCTTCTGATTGGCTGATTACATTAATGAAGCAGTGCATTTGTTCTTTTGGTTGCGTTGTATATTTGAAGTGTTTTCTACAGCTCTCTTGGACACGGTGGAGTACAGACACCAACAGCAAAGAGCACAACACATGAGTTTAACTCTGGGCTGTTTTAATGACTAATTAATATTTTGGGCCGTTTTAATAACTGATTCATTGTTGACAGACTCTCAAACATGAAGATTTTTCTGTTTTACATTATTGTACATGGATTATTTTTTGGTTCTGGACAGTTTGTCGGTCAAAACAAGACAACTCTGAGAAACTGAGATATTTTTCACTATTTTCTGACATTTTATAAATCCAATAATTAATTGATTAATCAAATAAAAATAATAGTCACATTAATCAATACAGAAAATAACTGTTGTTACCTCTGACGGATCGGCCGATGCTGTACAGGTGTGTGATGTCAGGGTTGGAGGCGTTGATCTGGAGGAGGTACTGCTCGATCTCACTGTTGTCGTGGTAACGAAACTCCAGCGTCAAGGCGGGGGTGATGATGAGGAAGGGGAGGAGGAAGAGGAGGAGGAGGAGGAGGAGCGATGACATCACTGCAGTGTGACCTGTACGAGGAGAAAACAAAAAGTCGTCAACAACAACAACAACAACAACAGGTGTGATGCTGAATGTTGTCGTGGTTACTGTGGGAAGAAAAACATCTGATGAAAACGTAGCTGAACTGATGAAGTGAGATCGAAGCATGAACAGCTGTACAGTAATCAGGAAGGAGGTGACGTGTTAATTAAACTTGTCAGAAGACAATGATGAGTTCAGGTGTCAGTCAGTCTGTTGTGAATCTGTGCAGCGACTGTTCAGGAATTTAAGCCGATGTGTAAAACTGTAATTACAGTCCTTCTTTCTTTTCAGCCTCAGGGAGCAGAGATAAGTTCACAAACAGGTTAGTGTCACTGTCTATTAAGAGGTGGATCAGTTTCTTTTAATAACTCTTCACTGCATTTCTGTGACACAAACTGGGGCTTTAGTTTAGTTCAGCCTGTTTGTTTAAGTCAGTTTTATTCCTTGTGTTATCTAATTCAATATTTCAGTCGAGTCAAAGTTAGTAAATTAATTCAGTTTAATGTTGGGTGAGCTCATTTTCATGGGTTGTATTTACTCCTCATTTTATATTAGATTAATACACAAAGTTAATTTCTTTGTTCACAGTTAGCAAACATTACCTTGACGTCAAAACATCTTGTTACATCATCTGCCTTTTTAGCTGTTTTGCTACGTTACGTGACAGTAGACATTTAGGAGCATTAACATTTAGATAAACTAAGCTTCAGATTGTTTCATAGTTGATTGTACTTGGTTTATGTTGAGCTGAGTTGCAGTTCGTAACAGCGAAAACGTTCCTGCACACCATAAAGTTGTGGCTGCGCAGGATCAAAAACTCCCAACTCAAATAGAAAACCAAAGAATCCTGCAGTGTTCAAAGCTTACTTTGATAACGTCAGTGATCATTCTTGAAGACGGACCTGAGCGGGAGCTGGTGGAGGTAATGGTCAGTTTGCCAAGAGCTTCGGCCATTGTTGCGTTTACAAAACAAAAGGTTAGAGTTCCCGTCTCACAGGCCAGGAATAGCTGGCTAGCATGCTAACTTCAGAATTAATAAAAACAGAATGAATACGTCTTTGAAGACAGCTCTTGGTGAGTGAAGGAATAAAGTTTGACGCTCAATCCACCATGTTTCTTCTAGACCATTAAGTAAACAGCTGTTGATGCTAACGTTGGCTATTTAGCGTTAGCAAAAACTCACATATAGGTCCTTTAAGAGTGTTTTATGAAAACTAGCCAAACAAATGAACTATATACAAACAACCTCTAGAGATAGTGTGTAAATACAGACAGAAACAAATGGGTTTCATAGCTTAAAGCCTACAAAGAAAGTCCTGTCTGGTCATTATTGAGACAGTTAAGTTTAACTGAGGTGGAGAAGTTGATCTTTGCTTAGTTAAACTTGACGAATGTGTTCAGTTAATCCAAGTTCAATCGGTTTTACAGTAAAAATTTTAAAAGCAAGTTCAGCAAATGAGGTGGGTTCATACAAAACATAAACAATAACACAAATATAATATATATAAATCTATACATAGGTTTATATAAAAATGTATAAATGTATAAAGAAGTCTTTTTTAGAAACAAACTGAGAGGAAAGTCCTGTCTGATCTCTGCTCACACAACCAACACACCACAGGAATGTTATTGAATATTTTAGAAATACTGATGCTGTAGCAAATAACAGATCATTAAGTGCTATAATGTTCTTCTTCAGCTAATTACTGAGAGTCACAGACACTGTAGAATCAAAAGCGCTGATATCTGATCGATTATCAGCCCCTTAACAGACGCCGAAAGATCAGTACGGATTGATGTCAGAGGTCTTACCTGTCCGCTGCCCGTCGGTCCACCGGGTCGTGTGTCGAAGCTGATCCGAACAACACCGGCAGAGTGACGGAGACTCCCGGACAGACAGTTTAAAGAGGAGTCTGTATCTGTCTGTCGCTTCTTTGAATGAATGTTACTTATTCATCAGCGGGTCTCCCTGTCTGTCTGCGGGAGGGGCGGAGCTTAGAGAAGTGCGTGTGTGTGTGTGTGTGTGTGTGTGTGTGTGTGTGTGTGTGTGTGTGTGTGTGTTGAGCGCAAACACACACATTCAACAGGTTTATGAATGAAACAGAGTGATGATTCATTCAGTTCAGACAGAAAAGGCCCTTATTCAATACAAATGTTTTAGTTCATTTATGTCTCATTAGAAAGTATAATATTGATCCAAAGTGAATGTGATCTGAATTTGTATAATTAGTATAATTCGGTCGAAGGGAGTCTTTAAAAAGGTTGAAGGCTTTAAAGAGGATGTTGTAGGATGCTGTTGTTGGTGTCCTGGAGGATGTTTTAGTCCTTGAAAAAGCTGTGGGGACCTTGATGCGGTTTAAAGAGTCCTTGAAGAGGTTGCAAAGGCCCCCTGAAAAAAGCTGTGGTCCTTGAAGAGAATGTCCGACTTCTTGAGGAGGCGATGTGTGATTTAAGAGGTTGTAGGAGTCCTGGAGGATGCTGTAGGTGCTTTGAAGAGGTAGTATTGGTCAGTGAAGATGTAGGAGTTCTTGAAGAAGTTGCAGACTTGAAGTTGAGGTTCAGGGGTCCTTGAAGAGGTTGTAGGGGATCTTTAAGGAGGTTGTAGGGATCTTTGAAGGAAGTTATAGTAATCTTTGAAGACATTGTCGACCCTCTAGGATTTTGTAGCCATGAAAGGGTTGGAAACCTTAAGGAAGTTAGGGATCTTGAGGGGGTTGTTGGGAGAAGTTGTAGGAGTCATTGAAAAGGTAAGGGTCCTTGAGAAAGCAGGTAGTAGTCCTTATGGAGGATGGATTTAAATGAATTAACTTTTTAATGTCCTAAAACTTGAGATTAGAGACAAACTGAAAAGGTTTAACATAAAGAGCTTCCATTTAGTCCATAGGATTAAATTCAGTCTTCATCTTAATAAAAAAAAATAATTTATTGAACTCTACAGTTAGAATCAAATCATTTGGTGTGGACATTGAGAAACTCTACTTTGGTGCCCTTAAGTTGCAGCATAAAAAAATACACCGTGGCAGATAAAAATTAACTAAAACAAAACCTCTAACTTGAAAAAGTGATTTGAAAGATACTAAAATTAATATGAAAATTCTTCACTTTCTCTTTAAGCTTTTAATCCTGACGATTTATAACATAGACTTATTGCATTACATTTACGGTACTGATGTCAATACCTTTATTCATTTTTGCATTCATTTTTACTTATATTTTTATTTTGTGCTTTAAACCATAAATATTATGGTAAGGAGATGATTTACTTTTGTTATATTGAGTCAGGAAACAGGAATAAAGAGTCTGTGGAGGGAAGAAGTCTCAGGAGCGTCAGTGACACCTGGTTGGTTTTATGGCGTTTTGGCGCCATCTCCTGGCGTTAGCTCTAAACTACAAGACAACAAATTCATCACAACCCAAATGAAAATGACAAAAAATAATCCCTATGTTAAAGCTACAAACTCAAAACAGAGATAGATACGTACTTCTGCTTAGTCAGTCAAACTTCACTGAAGAACTACTTGCAGATAGATGAGTAAATAAGTACTGGTTCTTGAGCAGGTTCTGGGATCTTTGATTAAAAAGTTTTGGGTACTCAAAAAGATTATGTGGTCCCTGTCCTGGAATAGTTTGCAGGAGTCCTTGAGGAGGTTTTGGAGGTTATATCCTTAAAGAGGTTGTAAGTGTCACTGAAGAGGCTGTAGGATACTTAAGGACGCTTTAGGGACCTAAAAGGGGGTTTCAGGGTCATTGACATGGTTGTAGGGGTCCTTGAGTAGGCTGTACAAGACCTAGAAGTGGTTTTAGAAGTCTCTGACAAGATTACAGGGTCCTTGAGGAGGTATTTGAAGAAGTTGCAGGGGATTTGAAGAGGTTTTAGGGGTTCTTTAAAAGGATGGAGTCCACGAGGAGGCTGGAGCAGACCTTGAAGAGGTTGTAGGAGACTTCTAAAACCCCTTCCTCGTCTTTGAAGTTGTTAGAAGTCTTTGAAGTTGTTGTATGCCTCGCGGTGATTGTAGTGGTCCTTTAAGAAGTTGTTTGGTACTTGATAAAATTGTAGGTTCCTTGAAGAGGTTGTAGTGTCCTTGCAGAGTAATACTAAGGGACAATGATGATGTTGTTGTTGGAGAACCTTGAAATGTGACAGAGGGACTAAAAGAATGGAATGGGGTGTTTGTTAGGGTTGCTTAAGGGAGATTTACAGCTCTGTTGAAAGATTAATATGCCCTTGAAAAAACTGCATGGCAGCTTGACAAAGTTGCAGATGAAGAGGATGAACCGGTTTTTGACAAGGATGAGATGATCAGTGTCAGGTGGAGTTTTCAGCATTTTCAGCTTATGCTTGCATTAAAGGAAACCGACAACACTGAAGTGTTTTTTATCCTCCATCTTGTACATTGAGGTAATGATGGGGGGGTGAGGGGGTGGGGTGGCTGGCTGATTGACAGCTCATTTAAACAGACACGGTCAAGGAGATGAGAGGCGAGGTGCAGAAACAGGAAGTTAATGAAGCTGGAGCGATGAGCGACAGGTACAACATCACTGATGCACTCATCTGTCTCTGTGTAATTGAAACCTCATTTAGTAAAACACGGTGATGCTGATTCACCGGTTTTTCTCTGAAACCAAAGACTTTTTACCTGAAAACAAAGTGTGAGAGTCTCTTTAAACTTTTATTCCAGTAAACGGGGATAACGTGTTTCATTTGGACTTTGAGAAGGGGAAGGGGGAGGTTGCAGGAATCTTTGGAGAAATTTACTTCACACCTACAGCTTAATATTCTCTATAAAAAGCCTCTGTGATAACAGCGACTACCATTATGGATTTGGTGCTAATAAGCATAACATTAAAAAGAGTAAAATGTTCTACTCATTTTACTCTTCGAATTTTTACTTTATCAATACCAAATTTGGTATACAGTGTTGGGTGACTGAGAGGCAGATTTCTATTACAAATGACCTATCTATCTAAAAGGTTTTTGTGGGGTCAAAGTGACTTTGACCTTTGACCACTGAACTTCAAGTGTCATGGCAAGGGTCTGAATGGGAAACTTTAATTCTTGCACCATAGGAAACTTTGATATTTGCCTTGAAGCACTGGTGCGGCTAAGAATAGTCATTAGGGATGTTTAGCATACCACTCTGCTTGGCATGGCCTAGACACAATCAAAAAATTATCTTTTTGCTTATTTAGCTTCAAGGTGCAGTTAAACTCCACCCTCTATTGAATTGTTAGAGACAAATAACTTGTATCTACCTTATTACTTGTCGACTTGTTGTTCCACCTGCGCAGTACTGTGATGGTGACCTTCGAATCTTAAAGAGCTCATAGTTTACTGTTAGGTCAGTTCAGAAAACTTTATTTCTCCCCAAAAGGGAATTCATTTGAAACACTGTCACCAGTCCACCTTTACAGCTTCTTACTAACTCTGTCAGAGGAAAGTCAAACTACAAGCATCTGAAACCACACCTACGCTCTTGTTTACTACCAACCAAAACCTAATGACACTGTTACACCCACCCTGTATATAAATATAATAATATAAGTATAAAACACGGCAGGAACAAAAGAGTAATAAAACAAAGAGCAGTGAGATCTGTACTGACTGCAGCAGTGTAGCCGAGTCTCGAGTCCCCCGTGTTCGAGTCTGAGAAACCAAGTCACCAAAGAAGAGTCATCAAGGTTGCGTCAAGTTCCAAGATGGATTCAAGGTTTACACTGAACACAAATAACACAACAATCAACATTTCACCACGTATGACACAACAACAAATGCACTCGCAGGCATGTGCAACGTCAATACTCGAGTCCATGTCCAAGTCATCAGCGCTCAAGTCCAAGTTGAGTCACGAGTCCTAAAAATCAGGACCCAAGTCCAAGGCCAGACCCGAGTTCTACAACACTGACTGATCGACAGGAGAGATAATCAGGGGGGCGGAGTTCCTGCCGCCGTCACTCCTGCCAGGACTGAAGAATGGGAGGAGTTTTTCAGTGAAGGAGCAGCCAGTAAAGGAGTAGAGAAGAGCTGCTGTGTCCACGTCATAAAAGGAGACCAGACCCTCCTTGTAATCCACAAACACTCTCACCTTCTCTGGGTGATCATTCACAGAGAGAGGGACGGGCTGGTCGTCAAGTGCGAAGTACCCGTTTCTATTCCTCCGACACAGAGTCCAGTAGCCGTTCTCGGGATTCAGTGTAATTTCTCCCTTCCTATTGACTGACTGTTTGGCCACGCCCAAAGTCCAGCCAATGTTCCCTTTAACCTGAACATCATAGTGAAACCTTCTACAGGAGAAACCCCGCTTTCCCAAAACACTGATCGCAGTCTCAAATCGCTTTGAGTTCTCTGGGAGTTTCTTCCACACGTCACCGTGACGTACTTGTTTCCCGTCATCGGACAGGACGAGAGCAGGATGTGCCGTATCAGGATCCAATGCCACGTCCGCCGTGTTCCGCTGGACTTGTCTCAGCTCGTCTTCCTGCAGCTTCTTCATCTCCTGTGTGACTGTCTCTGTCAGCTGGTTCACAGCGCTCAACACAGCCGTCCTGATGATTCCTGCATATGATGCAGGACAAGTGCTGATCTCTGTCCGGTCGTTGGTGGGCGGAGCAGCATTCAGGGTCGAGGATTTCCGGAGGAAATGGAGGTGGTCTTCATAGCACGAGAGCCGATCTACCTCAGCACGCCTCCTCGTCAGCTCAGAGATCTCCTGCTCCAGCTCTCGGATGACATCTTTGGCCTGTTCCTCCTTCGCTCTCTTCTTCTCTTCAATCGTCCTGATGAACTCGGCCTTGGCTTGTTCCACAGACTGAGTCAGAGCGGCGAAGACCTGAAGACCGTCTGCTGTCTCTCTGTCTGCGGTTTCCCTGCTGAGCTTTACTGAGTGTTCGACCTCCTGAACCTTTAGTCGTCTCTCCTGGATCATCTGCTGAAGTTTAGCCTCTGTTTTCCGCAGCTCTGCCTTCTTTACTTCAAATTCTTCTTTCAGAGAAACTACATGGTGAAATCTGTGACTGGAGTCAGCGCAGGCGCGACAAACGGACATTTGTTCATTCTTGCAGTAGAGCTCCAAAGGTTTGTCATGTTCAGTACACATGCTGTCTGCCGTCATCTCAATGGCATCAAACAGCTGATGAAAGTTCAGGTTGGATACTATTTGATGAAGCTTTAAATTCGTTGCTAAGTAGATGGTTAGAAATGTCAGGCTCATTGCTAACAGCAGCCTAGACTTCCGTTTTAGTCCAATGGGAACGTCATTAGAAACTTTCCCTGGGTTGGTTTCCTCGTGTTGCTCTGAGCTGCTGCTGGCGTCCTTTCCAGCTGACTGTCGGAACTGGACGGCCATCTCAGATATGAACGTATTGACCACAAGTTTATGTTTCTTATCAATGCGCTCTTTACACAGAGGACACTGGCGGTGGGAATTAAAATTCATGTGCTGTGTGATGCAGCTTTTGCAGAAGTTGTGTCCACACGGTAACGTGACCGGATTGGTGAACACGTCCAGACAGATGCAGCACAGGAGCTGCTCCTCCGTCAAAAGAAGGCTCCCTGCCGACATGTTGGTGCTCTGCAATTAAAGGAGAATTTACAGTATAAGTCTTGTATTGTGTCAGTGTGATAGAGCTGCCCCACCCACAGAGAGAGAGAGAGGGGACAGACAGGGTGAGGAGCTAGTTAGACTTGATAGACTGCCAGTTGTTTGGACCTGATGTGAAGTCAAGACCTTCATCCTTCAGATCAAAAAAAATTTAAACAAACCCCCAATAAAAACTCTCAGAATCTCAGTGCGCTGAACGGTTGATTCTAGATATCCAGAGTGTTTCTGCGGGCGCTCAGCCGGACCGGATCAGGGACCGGACTCCGTTTCAGTTGTGAGAGCTGCAGCTTTAAAATCTGAAGTTTGCCGAGAAGCACAAGAAGAGCAGCTGTTGTCTTAAACTATGCCGGTTACAGTATTGACAATGTTCATGTTGGGAAAAAAATAAAATGAAACCATCCATGTAAACATGTGAAGCTCATTAATGTGTTGTTTTATATGTATACATGTTTTATATTCTCACAGACACACCCCGTTAAAATTTTAAGCATTCGTATCCCAGGCACGAGACCACCTGTGAGGATATATAAACTGCAGGCGAGTTGCGTTCTTCAGTTGGTGGTTAAAATTTTTTAAGTAAAGCAACTGAAGACCAGCTCACCCACAGTGCCTCTGTTATTTGCCACTCATTCTTTAAAGTATGTAACTTGACGGGCGTAATGTCTTCACTGTAGAAACACCATTTAATCCCCGACTCTGCTCTCACAGATTCAACATGAACTAATCATTGAATTAAAGCTCCTTACACCACCTACACCCCAGTGAACAGATAACGCACCGTACTGACCTGTGCATGCCAACGACTCTGCTGTGGTTTCTCCTCAGGCAGAGACAGTGAATCTGGATTTGTGCTGTCGCTGTCTGTCTGTCTGTCTGCACGCCCCTGGTTTGTAGCTGCAGAGTGAGTTTATTCACTCTGTCACTTCATTGGTTCAATCACGTGGGTGTGGTGAAGAAATGCGACAGAGAGATGAGCTGACAGTTTGTGGGAACTCGGTGCCAAATACCTTTTGTAAGTTCACTTATTTAACCGAGACGATGTATGTGAACACAGCTGGGACAGGGTTGTTGTGACATCACAAAGTTCCAGAAGTCCTGACGGCTGGTTTTAAGGCTCAGTTTCTGAATACAGGCTGTGTGCATTTCTCTGTGGACTGAGGCTTTGATACTTTCACAGTATTAATATAGAACCCAGACCTGATCTATAATCACACTACACATGGACACAGACCTTATATTGTGTCTGCGGAGGTAAACAGTGCTTCGTCTGCTTTTGCTGATGTTGTTATGAGAAAGGGACGAAGCAAAGGAAAAATAAAGGATTAAAAAAAAGGCAAGGAAGGAAGGAAGATAAGAAGAAAGAAAGTTTGAGGCCAATAAAATTAAACTGTGACACAATAACCAGGCCTCAGCTTGTTCACAGTTTAAAAACAGATGCTATGCATTTGTATTTTTAATTGTTCGTCATGTTAAATCTCACTACGCACTACGCTCATGCTGCTGAAGGATCAATGCATTTCTATTGAAGTACTTTTATGGAGTATTTCCATTTAAAGCCACTTTAAACTTTTTACTCCCCCTCCATCTGACGGCTGTAGGTCCAGTGACTTTACACATTCAGATTTTACACATTCAGCTTCCTGTATGATGAGCTTTAAATATGAAGCACTGTCATAGATGTAACTCCAAATCAGTACGGACATCAAAAAACATTTTTTTAATCTTTTCAAGAGCCGAGTCCCTCCCCCAACAAAAGATGAAGGTGCACCAAGTGGAAGAGGGAAGTTCATCGTTTGTGACCCCAGTTAAATCCTCAGGTGTGTTGAGTTAAGGTGAGATAATGTTACATCATCAGCAGCTGAGGAAGAAATGTTCCGGTGACTTTCCGCCGGATTTGTTTTGTTTTGCTATCAGCCTTAAGTCTTAGGTAGCTGTGAAATGCTAACGCTAACGCTAATGCTAAGAGTGGTTCAGAGTCTATGGCGAGAGCTGGAGCTTTGCTCTCCAGCTCGGAGCCTTGTGCAGTGTCAGCAAAGTTTCCGCCGCAGCTATTCACATTAATGTTGCATGAAGCCAGAGTCTGTTTGGCAGATTTACACAATCTCTCTCCTCTGATGGCGAGCGGCGTTCTGCAGCTTCAGGCTGTATCTTCACTCCGTGACGTTTGGTTTCTTCTGCCCACACACTTCCGCCATGACTCACAAACTAACTCCATTTTGTTCTGTTAAAGGGCATCGTGAGTGAGTCTCCTACTGTTTGATGAGTCACTGTGATGTTCACGGAAAGGTAAAAAGAAATCCGAAGTCTGAACATGAATCCCTGTAAAACCTGCAAATGTTTTTTTCTTTTGTTTCTTTGTTTGTTTGTTGAAATGTTGTGTAGCAAACATACCATCTTCTTCTTTGGTATTCTGGAGTTTTAACTGCTCTGTGGTACTTTTTGACGGTTTGTTGTGCTCTGCAGTATTTCTCAGCCAATCAGCTGACGAGAGAGAGAGAGAGAGAGAGAGAGAGAGAGAGAAGGAGCGAGTTAAATTGAAATGTTAAGAGCAAAATTGGTTGTTTCCTCAAGAGAAGAAGAGAAAACACTGGAAGATGGCTGATATACTGTGTATTTGTGTGTGTGTGTGTGTGTGTGTGTGTGTGTGTATGTGTGTGTAATATCAGCTGTGATTGTATAAAAGAGTATGCTCTGAATATTAAAGCACTCCGCAGCATTCAGGAGATTCAGGGCGCCTGAACGCATCACTGCTTGGAAGGAAAGTGTGAGTTTTTCAGAATAAAAGCATAATTAGGTGACAAAAAAAAGGGGTGATAAAGTGGGGAAGGATGTATGTCACTGCAGCATCATGTGGGGTGGGGGGGGGCTTTTGGGGGAAGACGGGTGAGGGAGGGAGGGAGGGAGGAGAGTGATACCCGATGTGTCTGGTAGAAAAATCGATGTAATATCTGAAGTGCATATTGAAAAACCTCCGACCAGTAAACATTACACTGCAAAGACAAACAGAAGAAATAGACCCGCGGTCTCTCCGGCCTCGTGTAATTTCCCACCTGGGCGTCGGTGTGATATTGTTTGGCTTCAGAGCCGCGCTGAGGACTTTCCTCCGACAGGTATTGTTGGAGTGATGAGGAGTTTGAGTTGTGACTGCAACGGTTTATAGACGAGCAGTAAAACTCTGCCGGAGGAAGGAGGAGGAGGAGGCAGTTTTACTCACACTTTACTGGACAGATAATCAAGACTGTGACAGGTAGGCCTTTAAAACAGCTAAATAGACGAGCTGTCAGTTTGAGTCTCTTAATATTGTCTGTTAATTATGAATCTTTTCTTTTCCTATTGAAACTGTTGTGTTTATTATTATTCTACATTAAAATAAATCTCTTTTTGAGACCTCAACATGCTGGAGATCTCATGAACCTCTGCACACGTGTCGGGCCTGTAGGACAATGTGTTTTATGTGTGTTGCACCTGCATGTGGCGATGTGGCTCCACAGCGCCCCCTAGAAAATTAAATAAAATACAGCCCCAAGGTTGTGTTTCACCTACATTTATGAAATTTGGTACGCACATGTAACATGCCAAGACTCACAAAAAGGCCTCTTGCACCCATACCCTAAACCCGACAGGAAGTCAGCCATTTTGAATTGCCTCTGCAATTTTGGCACCATTTTTGTGATTTGTGATGTGCGACTTTTTTAGTATGAAACTTCAAAGAGCTCCTCCTGCAGAATCGATCAGATCAACATCAGAGTTGGCCGGTCTAATCTGAACACATCTGTGATGATAAATTACGAAGCTTTTGGCCTTTTTTCCCGCCTGTGGCGAATTTTGGTGTTTCGCCATGAAACAGGAAGTTGCTATAACTCCAGGACACATTGTCCAAACAGGCCCAAACTTTATATGTTTGATAAAAGTCCTGACCTGAAAACATCTAAATGCAAATATTCAGTTATAATCATAGCGTCCCCCCCATAGCGGCTGTGGTGGCGTTGCAAATTTCGTTGTTTTGCCAAGAAACAGGAAGTTGTTATAGCTCAAATATACATTGTCCAATCTGCTCCAAAGGTTTTCTACCAGCACCGTCGGCACGGACGCTTCAGCTAAGCAGAGCGTGGATTCCCAGTTTAATAATCAGGTTCGACACAGGTAGGAGACACCAGACGTCACCTGGCCGCAACAAGGGACTGAATGTGGAGGAATCTGACTCCCACGGCTTCATGTTTTCTAACAGAATATTGCACCTTGTCAACAAACACAAACAGCTCAGATTCTCTCAGCAGAGTCTTTCTTCATGTTCTTGTAATGTCTTCAGGTCTCTCTTGTAAAGGTATTTTCTTCTCCAATAAATAAAACTTAACTTACTAAGTAACTAGCTGAGAAAACTTTTTTTCCAGGCTCAGGTATTAATGTGATTTAATGTGATTATCACCCTGTTCAATACAGATTCGACCAAAGTGTTGACAGAATATTTTATACATGAGTGATTTGGCAGTGGTTTGAATCTCAGCCCATTTTTGGGGAGGGTAGGTCCTTAAAAGGGAGGGGGGTGAGGGGGGCGTCCATGATGCTGGAGCTGGAGACCCAGTTAATACAGTTCAGTTTCAGCAGGAGAAACCTGATTATTCGACCGTGTAAACATTTAACTGGGTTTAAAAAGGCTTTATTAAGTGTGTGAAAGCCTCATGCACATTTACTCTGCTGTCTCAATCCCTCCCACACAACATCCACACACACACACACACACACACACAAACACACACAGCCCATGCTGGTAATCCAAACTACAGAGAGCTGCTGGTGTGTGTGTTTGTTTCAGTATCTGTGTGTGTGTGTGTGTGTGTGTGTGTGTGTGTGTATTTCTGAGTGCATCTCAGTGTGTTAGAGTGTGTGTTTATGTGTGTGCGCTCCGGGGTAAATACCGTCTCATTTGTACTGTGACTCCCTCAATTCTATTTTCTCGCAAT